GATCAGGACTCTGTACCACGATTACAGCGCGGCTATTGCCAGTATCACTCCACCCCCTGTTAACAATAGGTGTTAATTAATCAACGATAGTCAATGATAGCCATGTGATGTGAGTATCAGTCACATGGAGGCAGTGCTTAAAAGCCTGAATTTTGCCTGAAACTCTCAGACTGAAGAAGTCTCTTGGAGAAGAGACGAAACGTTTCATTAGAGCAGAACCTGTCCAGAAGACCTATACAATTTTTTTTCTTTTTGATTTTTTACCTGGATTACTGAGATGCATCAGGAGATCTTTTAAAGTGCTTATTGGATGTACAACTATGACTGATTAACTTTTTGAGTCAACACAATTCAAGATGCCCACCGCAGGTAATTAATCCTAATGAACTGTCTGTAAATTGAATAAATTTACAGATACTGAGCTCAATGCTGACGCGGAATTAACTCATGCAAGATCTCTCAAATATCACAAGATTGAATCTGTTTTATTTCGTCTAACTTTGTCAGTTTTCATTTTAAGATGATTCAGAATAAAACTCTAGATTAAAAGGCAGCAGGTGATTTGCATTTACTCAAAGTTTGTTAACAGACTATAGTGTGGTTGTAAAAATAAAAAAAGTATAATTTTTAAATCTGGTATTTTGTTTCACATTTTTATGGCCACATTTGCTGTCACCCACTGTAGGCTGTTCTATTTTTCTTAATGCAGACAAATRCTTTAAACACTTTGACAAATTGTTGCTTTAAATCAGACAGGCATTGTACAGATACAGCTTAATTTTAGAAGAGAGAAGGAAATGTTTTGTCATTTATCATTAGAGCTTTAGTTTGAGAGTTGTAGCATCATCTGATTAACTGCATGAACAACCAACAATCTGGCTGTTGGACAGGCAGTGGGATTTCTGGCATATCAGACTCTTTTGTCAGCTGTCTTGCTGATCGAACAGATTGCCGGTCCGATTTCTGACACGGCCGCTGTGTGTAACTGCACTGCCGTGGCTGGAACAGTGCTGTCATGAAGAACCAAACCAGACTTCATCTGAATCTTTGGCACTGCAATTCCATTTTTTAAGCTCAAAACCAGTCTGTGGTTAAAAGAAAGAAAAATGGTGTGCTTTTATGAAACTTGGAATTATTTGTGTAGAACATATTCTCGTGATTCTCAGCAGAAAACACTGACAGAACCCAGAAATCCACGTGATGCTATGGAAACTAAAGTGGTGTGGAAGTTGTTACGTCTAAAAGTTTCTTCTCTCTCTCATCCGTGTTAAATTATTCCTGTCGTGTACCTGTCTTTGGCATGGGCGCCCCTCACCCCAAAACTCCTGCCCTCTAATTGTTGGCGATAAATGAATCCATTACTTTCTAATCATCTGTGAGGGTGGAGCAGGTTGGAGACTGTGTCAAAGCATTTGTGTTGCTTTCTGCTTGATTGCGCGGCCCTCTGCTCAGCTGACGTGTAATTAGCTCAAGGTGTTGCAGCCGCTAGCAGGGACCTAAGCGGGACCCTGTTCTGCATAATTATTTATATCTTCACATCCCTGCAGGTTACATGTGTACACATACTGCTTTTGTATGCATCTTTTTGTACTATAATTAATTGGGTGAGCACTTATTCTCATCAGCTACATTATGTGGTGTTTTTTCCCAGCCTTCCAGGTTTTTAGTAGCATGATTTTTATTTTCCTGGCCCATCCCTTGTGATATTATCTGTTTTTCAAATGAGTTCTTGTAAAAGAATGAAAGTGAGTACATCTGTAAACAATAAACCCATACATTATTTAGGCATTACACACCCAGAAATAGGCAAGAGCAAAAACTGCCTAGTCGTCCATCTGATGCTAAAAGTTGACTAATAATATTTCTGTAACAGATTTCAGAGTGTCAAACTGAAGACATACTTTCTGACCTTAGACTTTACATCTACAGTCGGAGATGGTTTTTAATACCCTGATAATTAAATTTAAGATTTCCCACTTTTAAAAAAATAAGCAGTCCTCTTTTGTGTGTGGTTTTCTTTTAATGTAGAGAGACTAAATGTCATCATCATAAAAGACAAGCAACCCACAAAAACAGCCCACGCACATTACAAAGAATTAGATTTTCTTACCAATAAACAAATATAAATGTTTGATCCTCACAAAGTTAGTCTGTATTTGGAAGCCACAGATTTGTTATGGGCCCATGTGGCACACACATCAACTAAATAACCAACCAAGCATGTTTCAACCACCTCCAATCTAAATTTAGCGTATACATTTCTGCCATTAAAAATTATATTGAACATAAAATGAGAAAAAAACTTTTACAAATGTTTAACAGTAAAATGCATCACTGTGGCTATGAATTAGTTCACAACAAAACAGACATATTTCTAATTAAAATGACTATAAAATGAGACTGTCAAGCACACACACTGCTCTGAATTAATGCTGCACAGAGTTGTGTAGAACGTTTAAAAACTCGCAAATGTGAGTTGTATCGGGGAAAAAAAACAGCAATACAGTTCAGTGGCTCTGTGTYTGCAACAAGCTGCAGGAAAAGAAACACAGACCCAACATGTTCTTATAAAAGGAATCATGAGTTATGCATTGATGATTCTTGCATAGTATATGTGCACATACTCATTAGAGTACACAATTACCGAACTCCTACGTTTTACTTATTTCATCATATTTTACAAACTGAATATTTCTGTTAATTTTCTTTTACACGGTGAAACAGTGGTTAGACCTGATTGCCTCCCAGCTTTCTGAGAGGGATTTGTATGTTCTCCTCCTGCACATGTGTGTTTTCTCTCCACATACTCAAATTTCCTCTCACAGACCAAAAACATGCACGTTGGGTGAGTTAGTAACTCTATATTCTCCCTATGACTGAAGGTGTGATGGATTGTTTTATTTGTCTCTATGTGTCCCTTTTTATGGACTTGTGATCTATGGATAGATGAAAAATAGATGGATGAATATTTCTGCTTTTAGTTACTTCAACAAACAACATCCTGCRAGTCATGAGTCTTGACAGTGTATTATGCGTGGAACATTTTCTGGTGTAAAAAGGTTGTGGGAAAAACACTGAGATGACTAACGTGTATTTTTTTTTAGCAATTGTGGCAGTTACGGCTGCTGCTGCTGCAAAACAAGGTTCAACAATTCTTCCAACTTGTGAATACCCTGAAACAAAAACACTCATCATTTATTTAAAAAGATCAGCACAAACAAAAAAATCTGAACAGGATCCATCTGGCTTCTACAGAACCAGGATAATATTGACATGTCATGTAAGCACAACGTAATTTACAAACAACCACTTCTGTCTCCAGAGATAACTGGATTCTATATATTCCAATAAAAAGTAAACAAACAGAAGTTTACAAAAGCCCACCACTGAAAGCCCACTGGTTGTTTCTGTTGTGCTGTTTGTTAACTTTCTCTCATTTGTGTCCAACTCCATCTCAGTCACCAGGATGCTTCATGCAGGAGATGGCTTGCGGGGGAACGTACATGCTGACAAGATAAGGCAGGGAATCTCACAAAGCCCAGTTCTGGTTTTCATTAGCTATGATAAAACATGCTGCTCTACTGGTGATTGTCAACCCTCCCACAGATCTCAGCCTTTTATCCTTGCTGGGAATAATTTACATTTAGGGGTTTGATAATTAGAGACTGTTTTATCTGTATGAAGCCTCTGAATGAGCATGTTGTGTACCCAAAAAAAAAATAAATAAACATGTCAAATTTAGAATCGCAGGTCCGCTAAAAATACCAGTGCAAGAAGCAAAATAACATTGTGGTGAAATCACTAATAAAAGGGGTTTTATAAAAAACCTTTTACACATTTCATATATTTTTAAAGAGTTTGTTCTAAGATATACTTATTTTTTATGTTATCAATGAAAATACTAGTGCTTTGAGCTCATCTTGGTGGAAGTAGAAATACACACCTGTAAAGTTGACATGGCGAATGTATTTTAGGAGCAGCGTGCCATTTATGGTGTCCATCTTGGAGCAAAGGCCAACTTTTCCAGGACAGAGGTCTTTGTGCATGTTATGCAGGGCGTGAGCCATGGCATAAACGGCATCTATTACAAATTGGACCTTCCCCTCCTGTTCGTAGGATGAATCTTTCCCAATCCGCTCATGATCTAAAAGGAAACAGTAAAAACACAAAAATTAGGACCTTTGATGAATTGTTCATGTTCTTTTTTTCTGGCTCTTTCATTGAAATTTTGAAGGACAGTTTTGTCTGGACTATTTTATATGAGGGGGTGGCACAGTGGTTGGAGCGGACACCTGAGGTCACATGATCACCTTCCAATCTGAGGCCTTTCTGTGTGGACTTTGCATGTTCTTCCTGTGCACGTGTGGGTTTCCTCTTACGGATAAAAGATGAAGTTAAGTTAACTGATAAAACTTCTCTAAATGTGAGGGAGAGTGTGAATGATGATTTGTCTAGCTTGTCTTGATGTGGTCCTGTGAGGGTGTACKTCACTTCTCACACAGTGACTGTTGAAGATAGGCACCAGCTCCCCCTGACCCAGAAAACAATAGTAGGTAAAAAAAAAATAAATGTATGGATAATTTAGATGCATATAACTATTTTCAGAAAATAATAAATACTCCATCCATCTTCTGATGTTTATCTGTAGTCAGGTCACAGAGGCAACAGGTCCAGGGAAGAAATCTAGACATCCCTCTACTCTGCGACACTTTCCAGCTTGACCTGGAGGAGTCTGCCCTGGGGCCGCTGTAACAGAGTTGTAAGGGGAGTCATCCTGTAACCGGTAGGTTGCCAATGCTACACACTACAAACAGGATTAGAGACAAGGGACARSCCTGGTGGAGCCCAACCTGCACTGAGAACGAGATTGACTTTATGCTAAGAATGTGAACCCAGGTCCTGCTTTGGCTGCACAGGAACTGGATGCTAGCATTATATTCAAAAATATAAGAACCAAACAAACAATTGTTGCTGGTTGTGTAAAATCAAGTAAATTATTTTGAAACAGCTTTTTTTGTATTCAATTTGTGTTCAGATTGACACAGAATTTGTTTAACAGTAATTTGCCATTTCTCGACGTTAATCAAAAAYACTCTTGTACAAATTCAATTCAGTCTCTTTGCAGCCTCTCTTCTATTGAGCTGTCGATCACTTCAACCCACTCATTCTTTCTTAGAAAGACACTTTTCTCATCACGCCTGCTGATCTTCTTTGTGCAGCTAATGGTCTTTCCATTGCCGTGGATATGTGATTTGATAAGGCAGAAAACTTTATATTGGGACATTTTAATTGTGTTTACATGATCTCTTGGTGTTTATAACCACAAAGTCACGAGCCACYTCAAATCTATTAATCATGAGCGCAAAGCTTGACAGAGCAGCGCAGTATGAGAGGAAGACACGTCCAGATAGACTTAATCACTCTTCCGTAATAATGTAATTAGTTATGACAGGTGTATATTTATCATAGCTGGCATTGTTCTAATGCTTCAGAAATGTGTTGAGTTTTCAATTATTGGCCTAATGCCCTTAATAAACAAAGCCACGTCACATACATTACAACATATGTCTGAACTGTTATGAACAGAACAAATTTTGAGTTCTTTGCATCAATTCATTCTCTGATACAGTTGATTCTTATGCTTCTTTACAGGGAACCAGGTCTTTTCCATATCACAGCAAGACAAGCATAAGGCAATACATGTGGTTCCATGGGATTTAGAAGGAAAAAAACGGCATGCAGTAATAAATAAAATTCTTTTTTGCTTTGTTTACAAGCCTTGGAGAATCTTTGTGGCTGCAAATTACCATTCCAAGAGAAACAAATATTTTAAAGAATCACTAGGAAGCACTAATAAATTAGTACTTTTTTGGCAATATTGTTATAGTCCATTTGCAACACCAGTTATTTTCTTGTATGCTACGGGTAATTACTCAAAATGATACTAAATTGTCTCCTTTCAAAAGCAGAATATTTTCTTATTAAATGGAGCACAGTAATTTAACAAACAGCAACTTTTTTACTTTCTAAATAAGTGATTGTTTATGTTGAAACATGTTTAGGCTACCTGGTCAGCGAAATTGTTAATTAGCTGTTTCACATGAGTGGGCAATCATCAGCTTTTTAAGTTAATATGCTGTGGTAAATTTTAAATAAAGCTTGCTCCATCCATCCATCCATCAATCCATCCATCCATCCATCCATCCATCCATCCATCCATCCATCCATCCATCCAT